ATGTAGCTCTTTTTTCAGAGGCAAACCTGGCCACAATTGACAGCTCAAAGAAGTGGCTTATGAAGTCGAAATTCATAGCAGCCAAATACTCTAAACGCACGTTTTGAATGTAGAGGGAAAAACAGGAGGACCCGGACAAAAATCCATGCGACCATGGGGAGAAATCAGGGTGGGATCGAAACCACGACTTCCTGTTTACCAGGCAACGTAGATTAACATCTCGCGGCGCCTTTTCCACTCACAACTCAGAGCCCTACTCACAACCCAGAGCCCCACCCACTGCTCAGGTAGCCACGCCCACGACTCAGGTAGCAGTGGAGAGTGTTTGGGTCCACAGGCTAAGGCTCCTGCGCGTGCTATGTGAGCCCAGCTATATGTATGCTGAACTTCTTTCGCACCACATGTAGCCAACCGTGCTTATCGGAGGTGCGGTTTCCTGCAGCGCTCGCTCCCCCAGCCTCCATCACTGCACAAGGGCTGCTGCAGCCTGGAGAAGGGACCGCCACTGTGGAGGGGTCCGCGTGAAGCGGGGTTGAGAGGGGCCGCTCAGAGAGTGAGTGGAGTCTCCCCTGGTGACGTCTCTCACAGAAACAAGTGGGAGAGGAGACGTGGGTGGTGGAGAAGAAGAGGAGGAAGGCGGAGGAGTCCAAAAAGCAGATGGAGGCCGCTCACAGGGACGTGCAGGTAACCGCGTCTGGGCCAGATCCTGTGACCCCGTGACTCCACCCTGAGTCGAGTTTGTGATGGAGGACAACTCCATTCATTCACGTGGACTTCCATTGGCTTTGAACACATCGTGGGACTAAAGACACAACGGTCAATGCGCATCAATACCCAGGACAAGCAAAGAAGTGGTTCTCATCTCCAATGAGGAACTGAATCAGTGGTGGAAATTCCACATTCTTAGGATGGGGGACCAATATCCCCATGTGAACTGCCACTTCATCTTGTTATATATCTGTCTAATCTAGCCAGATGAGGTGGCACATACCTACTCTTTGGTTTTATTCGGTAAAGTCACGTAGGTAAAAAATAAAACAACAAAATTCACGATGTTTCGGCCACAACACACGCGGCCTTTATCAGGTGAAGGGATCAGGCTGTCTCGAGGACAGCGCTGGAGTGAAACACAACCACGCTCAGACCGTGGATCTTTAAGCTGTGTTTGAGCAAACAAGGTGCCTTGATAAAGGAATTAGCATAAAAAAATAGCATTTGATGGCCGACTTTAGAAAAGCGGTGGTGTACGTGCCGGTGGACTTGCCGTTTGGTGCGGGGGTGGGGGAGGGGGAGTTTACCTATTGATGGTGTGAAAAGGGAATTTATAAGAGCTGCGAAAGTTTGGGGTACCACTACTTGAAAAATATACTGTTCCATTGAAATTAGTTTAATGTTTAGTTCGATTTCGAACATCTTTCCAATGGTTGCTTAATTTGAAACCATCTTCTCGGTTGAAATTGTGTCTGTGTTTGTAGATCTGAATTGCCTCGTGAACAAATCTCTGATAAAAACCCGTGGGTTTGCAAAGAACCTTGGTATCGGAGAAAATTATATCGTGATCACCGACAGCGTTGTAACAGTGATCAGCCACGGCAGAAGAATTCGTTTTGCCGTGTTTCAAATCTGATTTGTGCTCGCGAATTCGGTCAGAGACATGTCGCTTTGTCTCCCCGATATAGCAATCACCGCAGGTACAACTCAATTTGTAAACCCCGGGGTACTGTAAGTCAGGAATGACATCCTTCACGGATGGGATCAGATCACGAATTTTGTGTACTGTATTGAACTGGACCTGGATCTTGTGTTTGTTTAGAATTTTGGAAATCTTTTTAGTAACGCCTGCTATATATGGTAGTGTGATGGTTTTGACCGGAGTATCAAGTGGTTGTTTCTGTATGGAGGGAGAAACAGCTTGGCGGATGGTACGGTCAGAGTATCCATTCCTTTTGAGGGCCAGGTGTACATGTTTTAATTCTCTGGTCAGGTGGTGTTGGTCCGAAATGCAATGAGCCCTATGGTATAAAGTTTTTGATGAGATAATTCATTTGGGCGTGGTGGTGGTGGGAATCAGATTTCAAGAAGGTAATCTGTGTGGGTGGGTTTCCTGTAGACAGAATGCCCCAATGAGCTATCAGGTCTCCTTGCTCATTGGGGCATTCTGTCTACAGGAAACCCACCCACACAGATTCCTACTTGAAACCTGATTCCCACCACCACCCAGCCCAAAATAATTCTCTCATCAAAACTTTATACCATAGGGCTCATTGCATTTCGGACCAACACCACGTGACCAGTGAATTAAAACATGTACACCTGGCCCTCAAAAGGAATGGATACTCTGACCGTACCATCCGCCAAGCTGTTTCTCCCTCCATACAGAAACAACCACTTGATACTCCGGTCAAAACCATCACACTACCATTTATAGCAGGCGTTACTAAAAAGATTTCCAAAATTCTAAACAAACACAAGATCCAGGTCCGGTTCAATACAGTACACAAAATTCGTGATCTGATCCCATCCGTGAAGGATGTCATTCCTGACTTACAGTACCCCGGGGTTTACAAATTGAGTTGTACCTGCGGTGATTGCTATATCGGGGAGACGAAACGACGTCTCTGACCGAATTCGCGAGCACAAATCAGATTTGAAACACGGCAAAACGAATTCTTCTGCCGTGGCTGATCACTGTTACAACGCTGTCGGTGATCACGATATAATTTTCTCCGATACCAAGGTTCTTTGCAAACCCACGGGTTTTTATCAGAGATTTGTTCACGAGGCAATTCAGATCTACAAACACAGACACAATTTCAACCGAGAAGATGCAACCATTGGAAAGATGTCCTAAATCGAACTAAACATTAAACTAATTTCAATGGTACAGTATATTTTTCAAGTAGTGGTACCCCAAACTTTCGCAGCTCTTATAAATTCCCTTTTCACACCATCAATAGGTAAACTCCCCCACCCCCGCGACAAACGGCAAGTCCACCGGCACGTACACTACCTCTTTTCTAAAGTCGGCCAATCAAATGCTATTTTTTATGCTAATTCCTTTATCAAGGCACCTTGTTTGCTCACACACAGCTTAAAGGTCCGCGGTCTGAGCGTGGTTGTGTTTCACTCCAGCGCTGCCCTCGAGACAGCCTGATCCCTTCACCTGATGAAGGCCGCTTGTGTTGTGGCCGAAACATCGTGATTTTTGTTATTTTATTTTTTACCTACGTGACTTCACCGAATAGAACCAAAGAGTATGGATCCTTGCAGTCACGAAAGCTTTAAATCTAGAAGTGGCACATACCTGTTATCCAGTACATTGGTGGCAGGGTTCACATTATATAAATATGTTTACAAAACTATCACATTGTGCTATGAACTCAAGTCACCTGACATCAACTCCCAGCGATGACAAACATCAGTAGCGAGTAATATTTGTAAAACCACAAAGCAATACACTGAATGCACGCAGTGTGCGTCATATAATGTGCATATTCACATAACCTATTCACGTAGTACACTCCCATTCCGTATATTGCAATTTGCAATGTGAGCATTAAAGTTCATTTTAATTTTAAAAGAGTATCCGACAAAGCACAGAGACACTTCGAGGTAAGGTCACCAAGTTGCATGTCCAGTTCTCATCGGTGCACCGATATCATCACTGCCCAGTCATGAAACCCAGCTCTCGTGTCCAGTTCCAGATGGGCATGTTTTGTGGATGGAATACAGCTTGGAAGCGTTGCTGATCAGGCACCTTCAATGATGACCTTTTGATTTGTCACTCTGCTCGCATTACATACACCTTGTGCAACTCTACGAATAGATGGCGTTCATATTTAATTATAATTGAAATTGCTTCTTTTTCTCAGATTTGTGATTTACTATTTGGGATTGAGTCCTGTGTAGTTTTCAGGGTTATGATAGGTGACAATTGTATTGTTTATTGGCTACCGAGGCCGTGATGCACAGGAGGGGTTCATCCTCCATCAGGTCACCTGGGTTACAGATCAAAACGGCTCCCATAGTGTGGGTTGCATGGCCACAGTGGCAATACTGTGGATTGACGTTAATGCATCTCTATGGGTCTCGATGGGTCTCTATGTATCTCTGAGTGTCTCCATGTGTTTAGTATATGGTCCATAGTTTGGGTTGTATGACCACAGTCACACTGTCCTAGATTGACTCAAATGGATCTCAATGCGTCTCTATTCGTCTCCATGTCTCTGTGTTTCTCTATGGGTCTCTATATCTGAGTCTCTATGTATCTCTATGGATCGCGAGGTATATCTATGGGTCTCTATAAGTTTACTTTATTGCCCATAGTTTGCGTTGTATGGCCACAGTAACTTATACATTTATGATTGAGGAAAGAGAGGTGTAAACTCCATCTCCATAAGACATAGATCAACCGTTGCGAGATTAACTCCTCCGTTAATTATTTAATCAAAACAAATCACACGCCCTGGCAGGAATCGATGACCGAGGTGAGGCAGCGAATCAATGGCGAGTTCGCCCGCATGAGAGCAGCTCTGGACGAGGACGACAAGGCGGCTCTGGCTCGTGCGTCCAAGAAGGAGCGCGAGTTGCTGACCCAGATCGAGAAGAACATCGCTCACTACCAGTGCAAGATCGGCGAGCTCCAGGCAGCAGCCACTCGTCTGGAGGGCCTAGCGCAGGAGAGGGACTCGCTCGCGTTCCTGCAGGTGAGCGATGAGTCTCCGGTGTCGCTATTGGCACAGAGCCCTCGGCAGCGTCAGAGTTGAGGCTCCTGAATGAGGTTTTCACATCGACTGCGCTTTGTCATGCACGGCCTTCTGCCCGGTCCTTGCGTGCAGTCGTTCCCAATCACGACGATGTTTGCAATGCAAGTCAGTGTTGGTGCTCATGAGGTCGTAAGCCAAGACTTTGTGGTTTATATTATACCCGCGGCGTTGCAGTGGGGATTCCACTGATCCCATGGGAATGGAGGCAGAGTCACAGTAACGCATCTCTCTCTCTCCCACAGGGGCACCTGGAGGAGGCGCGCAGGTACAGACGACGATCACTCACGACTCCACACACGACAACATGGGACTTTGTGCGAGGCGCAGGCAGTGGGACACTGGCTGTTTGTGGGGATGCTGTGTGTGTGTGATGATGCTGTCTGTGGTGAAGCTGTAAGTGGTGGTACTGATTATAATGATGCTATGTGGTGATGATGTGAAATGTGAGTGTTCATGCTTTGTGTGATGAGTTTGTAAGTGATGGAGCTGTGATGATCCTGTGTAACACAATTTTTGTCCCTGAGTAGTAAGTGTTATTTAGTAATTGCTAATGCCTAAAAAGTGTAGAAAAAGGCTTTTATTCCCCACAAACTTTGCTTTTGTGACCAGGGCAGTGATATTTAGAAATTGGCATATTTTCAAAGAGAAAACGGGCATATTTGTGTCTTTTCGTTCACATAAATTCAGAAAAAAAACATATGAATCAAAATTTACACATATTTATCCTAAAGTAATAAAAAAATACTACAAAAGATTTAGAAGTGAGTATTTTTTCGAGATTTACGATTATACTGTAAATCACTTTGACGAATCAGCCCCCAAATGTAGTCTCCCATCATGTTCTCGTTATACTGTCCTTGGTAGCGGCGTTCAAAGTCAAGTATATCCTGGTGGAAGCGCTCGCCTTGCTCCTCCGAGTACGCTCCCATGTTCTTCTTGAATTTATTAAGATGAGCATCAAGGTTATGGACTTTGAGGGACATCCTATAGCCCATTGTGCCGTAGTTCTTCACCAGTCTCAACCAGCTCCACATAGTTTTCGACCTTGTGATTGCCCAGGAAGCCCCGAACCACTGAGACAAAGCTGTTCCAAGCCGCTTTCTCATTACTTGTGAGCTTCTTTTATGATTTAATTGCACACCAGGATCTTCTTTATCTGTGGTCTGATGAAGACACCGGCTTTGACCTTTGCCTCAGACAGCTTAGGGAAGAATTCTTGAAGGTACTTGAAGGCTGCCTACTCCTTATCTACAGCTCTGACAAATTGTTTCATAAGGCCCAATTTGATGTGCAGTGGTGACATCAGCATCTTCCGGGGTCTACCAGTGGCTCCCACTTGACGTTGTTCCTCCCCACAGAAATCTCGGTCCGTTGTCGCCAGTCCCGCCTGTGGTAGTGCGCCTTGGTGTCCCTGCTGTCCCAAAGGCAAAGATAGCAGGAAAACTTTGTAAAACCGCCTTGGAGACCCATCAGGAATACGACTATTTTAAAGTCTCCGATAAACTTCCAGCCGTACTCATCATACTTCAAGGCGTCGAGCAAGGTCTTGATGCTGTTGTAATCCTCTTTGAGGTGCACCGAATGAGCCAGGGGAAGAGACGGATACTTGTTCCCATTATGGAGCAGCACGGCTTTGAGGCTCCTGGATGAGCTGTCAATGAAGAGGCGCCACTCATTCTGGTTACAGACGATTCCGATTGCCTCGAACAGACTAGTCACATTGTGGCAGAAGCAGAGCCCATCTTGACGGGTGAAGAAGCTGCAAATAGGTTGGTGACACTTCCTCTGAACTGTGACTTGCACACTTTCATCCAAGCAGTTCCACTGCTTGAGCCTAGACGTCAAAAGCTCGGCATTGGACCTGGTGAGACCAAGATCTCTTATCAAGTCGTTGAGGTCTTTTTAGTTGGAGTCGTATGGGTTTCTCTCCTCAGCTCCACCTTTGAAATTGTCATCTGGTTCTACAACGTCTTCCTCGCTCTCTGACTTGCTACTCTCTTCGAAAGACGGCTGCTCTTTTTACAGGGGAGTGGGTACAGGGAGCTCATGGCAGTGTGGCACCGGGGCGATGGATGAAGGAAGGTTCGGATACGTGATAGCAGGTACATTCTTGCAAGTCCGACGTTTGCAAGGACCCACCATGCAGAAGTAACAGTTGCTTGAGTGGTCAGTGGGTTCCCGCCAAAATACATTTATTTCACCCATGACTAATGTGTAAGAGATTCTCGCAATATTTTTAAAACAAAAAATTTCAATAACATTGAAAATTGTAAAAATAATAATAAACTTTAACAATAAAAAAAAATCTTAACAAATTTTATTACATTAATTTCCGAGCAACAATTGTCCATCTTTCCTTCCAGAGACTTTTTTTGCATTGTTCGCAGGTGAAATGAGGTGCCCAGGGTTTGTCTTGATCCCCGACAGGCATGCTAAAATATGCCTTGTAGGCCTCACACATCTTAGCAGATGCTTCCACAGAGTACTTTTTCGCTCTTGTCTTGATAAATTGGCCACAGACATAGAAAAATGCGTCTGCCGGATAGCTTGCAGCCTCTTGATGTCATCTCAGAAAAATGCAGATATGTATCTACTTAGGTAGCTGGAACTAAACTGAACTGATGGGCATAAGGCCCCTATATTTATACTACTATTTATATTACTGTAAAGTTCCAGAATGTTCTAAAAGTTACTCCAAGTTTACCCTGCATTGAATCTATCTGGAATGTTTTGGAAAATAGGTCAATTTCAAAATAACAATATCCTGGTCACAAAAGCAAAGTTTGATGGGAATAGCCATTTTCTTTACTTTTGAGGCATAATCAATTAAGAAATAACACTTACTACCCAGGGACAAAAACAAATAAAAATGTGTTGCACAGTTTAATCTTCGTGAAAAAGTGGCAGTATCTGCTCTGTTTTCACAGGACAGGGAGGGTTAGAACGGCTCAACCCTCAGCTCCCAGCCAAGAGGAGATTGCCTCACTTAAAGTCCTGGAGACAACTACTGTCAAGTTCATGTGTGAGTTATTCAGTGTGAATCATGGGTGATGAGGCCATCTTGACAACAGATGAACCCCGTGGGTGCACGAGATCGACTCACCCTCAAATAATTACCTGGAGTTTAACAAACATCACCATTAGGGAGACAAAGGCGGCCAGGGATAGTGCTGGCCACCCACCCCCTCATGTGTCGTGCCAGCCTTCAACGGTGCTGATTTGCCCCAACAGTCTGTAAAGGCTACACGGGGGATATTTTTTTGTTTACATCCTGGAACCTGATGCGTTGTGTAAACAAAATCGTCACTAAGGAGACAAAGGTGGCCGGGCATGGTGCTGGCCACCCACCTTGTGTGCCATGCCAGCCTTCATAGACTCTCACGGACAGCACTTGTCCCAATAGTCTGCGAAGGATACCCAGGAGATCTCTGTCTTTGTTCACATCCCATTCCAGGACCCTACTGAGGATGGTGGTAATGATGCTGATGTTTGTGATAATGTGAGTGATGGTTATGGTGATGGCATTGATGATGGTGTTTGTCGTGGTGATGGCAGTTACGGTCGTGGTGATGGTAATGATGGTGACATTGGTGATAATATAGGTGGTGATGGTTGTGATGGTTTTGCTGATGGCGCTCATGGTAGTAGTGATGATGATATTGGTTACAGTGATAATTGTAGTGATGGTGGTGATCATGGTTTTGATGGTCGTTGTGATAGTTATGATGCTGATCGTGTTGGTGATGTTGGTGATAGTGATGAAGATATTAGAGATGGTGGTGATGGGGATAGTCATGTTGTTGATGTTCATAGTGTTGATGATGGTGGTGATGGTGATATTTATGTTGTTGTCATCGATGATAATGATGGCGAGAATGGTTGGTGATGATGTTTGTGATGTTATTGTCGATGGTGAAATGATGACTGGTGATGGTAATGTTGATGGTGATGATGGTGGATAATGGTGATGATGTTGTTCTGTAGTGATGTTGCGATCGCTGTTGTCACAGACGGATGCTCACCAACTCTGGACACAACCACTGCTCATAACCAACTCCAGATCTCCTCGGATCTCAGGACGATGACAGCAGTCCTTCCCTCCCAGGGTCGCCCCGATCACCCACACCGGTTTGATTACTGGTCACAAGCCCTGTGCTGTGAGAGCTTCTCGTCGGGCCACCACTACTGGGAGGTTGATGTGGGGGATGCGCGGTGGTGTCGGGTTGGAGTTTCGTACGGGACGATCCCATGGAAAGGGCGTGGTGCTGCACGGCTGCTGGGAGGGAACGATGCGTCCTGGTGTTTAGAGAAATGTGACAACTTCTCAGTGTTTCATGGTGGAGTGAAGACTGCACTGTCGGTGAGGGAGGCCCCCTCCTCACGCAGAATCGGGCTTCACCTGCACTGGGAGGGGGGGCTCCTGGCGTTTTACCGCGCCGACTCCATGGAGGTGATCCACGAGGTTCGGCAGAGATTCTCGCAGCCTCTCTACCCTGGGATGTGGGTGTTGTATTGTAATGATCGATTGAAGATCGTGGATCTGAGTCGTGCATTCTGAGGATGAGGAGAGATAGAAACTCAAGAAACCAAGACAGAAACCCAATAAACGGAGGTGAGGGTGGATATTGAGGAAATGGTGAAGTGAGGGTGATGGGTAGTTGGAACAGAGGCTGAGGTAAGGTGAGAGTGAGGGCAGAATGGAGGGGAAGGTTACGGGTGAGCGTGGAGGGTGAGGAGAGGGTGAGGAGAGGGTGAGGTGTTGGGAGGGTGAGGTGAAAATTGAGGAAAGGGTGAGGTGAGGTGAGCGTGGAGGGGTAGGGTGAGGGGGGAGGGTGAGGTTCAGGTTGGCCTGCGTGAACGATGTCGCCGGTGCTGTACAATTCGCAGGTTCGTGTGGCCGCTCCTTCACCTGCAGTGCGCGCTCGCGTGTACCACGCCTCCTCATCCCTGCGATTCACCATCATCACCATCATGACCATCACCAACATCATTACCCCATCATCATCACTGTCACCATCACTCCATCATCATCATCACCACTGTCATTATCACCACCATCAACACCACCACTATCATAATCACCATAGTCATCACTACCACCATCATCGCCATCATCATGATTACCAACAGCACCACCAACATCATCATCACCATCATGATCACCATCACCAACATCATCGTAACTATTATCACCACGATCACCACCATCATTACCATCATCATCACTATCAACGCCACAATAATCATCACCATTGTCACGTCCATCTCCATCATCATAATCATTACTTAACATCACCACTATCATCAACATCATTATGACCATCATCACCAGAACCATCATCAACACCATCAACATCATCACCACCGTCAAAACTACCATCAGAATCATCACCACCACCATCAAGCTCATCACCATCAATATCACGACTAACACCACTACTATCATCACTACCATCATCATTATCACCACCATGGTCACCACCATCATTATCATCATCACTATCAGCACCCACATCACCATTCATACCATCACCGTCACAATCATCACCATTATCACCATCATGAACATCAAACACCACAAAAAACTGCCATACTCATCACCATTATCACATCCACCTTCACGACCATCATCACAACCATCATCATCACTATCCTCACCGTGAAAACCACCATCACCATCATTCCCACCATTACCCTCACTACGACCATTAGCACCATCGCCCTCATCACCATCATTACCACCACCACTGTCATCATCACCACCACCATGATCACCACCATCATCAGCAGCAGCATCATCACCGCCTACATCACCACCACGATTATCACCATCACCATTCTTAATATAATCATCACAACCATCACCACCATCATCACCATCACTACCATCATTATTACCAGGATCAACAACACCACCATCATCACCACCATTACCAACACTACCACCATCACCATGGTAACGTCTTTGTAGTTCGGGCTGTTATATTTGTTGATTGTGTTTAACCTGGGCGAGAACTCAAGACACCAGTATAGGAGTCTCATTTGTAAGAGTGAGTGGAATGGGGAGTGAGTGCTTAGGTGAGTGAGCAAGTAGATAAGTGATGGTGGGTGATTGAATGATTGAGTGAGTGCATGGTTGATTGGGTGAGATGGTGGGTGATTGAGTGGGTGAGTAGACGGGGGAGATGCTTGGTGGATGAGTGAGTGAGTGCATGGGTGAGTGGATCGATGGAGTGTTTGAGTTCGTGAGAGGGTAAGAGGGTAAGTGAGTGGGTCAATTATTGAGTGCGTGAGTGAGTAGATGAGTGAGTGAACTATTGAGTGCATGGGTGAGTGATATGGTGGGTGAGTGATTGGCTGAGTGGGTCAGTGGTTAAGTTAGTGAGCGAGAGGGTAGGTGAGTTTGTAAATGATTGAGTGAGTGAGTTCAAGTGTATCGTCTGTAACCGGGAGTAGAACTCGAGAGTCCAGAGCAGGAGTCTCATTTGCGAGAGTTACCTGGGGCTGGGGGGAATCTCCAAAATAACAAAAACGACAACGTGAGCACAGGGAACAATAACGAAGTGAAGATAAATTAGAGGAAAAAACCAACAACAACAACCACCACCGTGTTACAGACGGAACCGGAAACAAAACAGCGCCCCGAACAAACTCCCAATACTGCAAGGGTGGAGACAGCGTCTGTACACCCAACTCACAGTCGTGTCCACGTGTTGGGTGGCCATCTCGTCTAGACAGGGTCACCCGTCGCGGCGTCCAACACGACGTAACAACAACTCCCACAGACAACCCCGACAGCCCACACCTCCCGGTCCCCCCCCCCCTCCCCACGGTTCCTGGGTTTGTCATCACGGAAGCGGACCGGTAGCTGCTACAAGCTGCACAGAGCGAAATGTATTCAGAACGGCTAACCCGCAGGATAATCCGGGCAGCTGCATTCTGCACTAACTGGAGCCTTTGCACCAGTCCAAGTGGAAGCTCTGCATAGATAATCCAGGCGTGTTGAGATAAAGGCATGAACTAATGATTACAGGTCTGGGGTAGAGAGGAGCGAGCCCAACCCTCGGAGTGTTTGTAAGTGGTAGAGATCTGCTCTGAACGTAGCTATGAGCTGCGAGCGCACGGTCAAGCTCTGATCGAACAGCACACCGAGGTTGCGTACTTTGGACACACAGAGAGGGCGAGCTCTCCTAATCAGTGGATGATCGATGTTGCCCTGACATGCTCGCAGACGTTGCTCTTAGCTAACTATCATGTACTCTGTCTTGCCCAGGTTTAGCTGCAGCCAATTTTGCTCTGTTCAAACAGCGACTTCAGACAAGCATTCTCAAGTAACAGAGATAATGGCATCTGGATCTGACGGACATTGAAAACTAATTTATTAAGAATTGATTTTTGTGTTTGGTTTGTTGTCCTCACCCCGCACCTCCTATTAGCACGGTTGGATATGTAGGTGCGAAAGAAGTTCATCATACATACATAGAATCTGAATCAGCATCTTTAATTATACTGGAGGAATCCAATGAGTTATGAAGCTCTTTTTCAAAGATGTCCAGTAGGGGAGGGTCATAAAGTTACAATAACAAACAGTCCAGACAACCAATCGGAGTGTAAAATATAGGAAAGGTGTGCAAATCACTGAAACTAGATCAATAATTAAACAAAGTATATAACTACAAATTGCAATTGTATATTACTTCCGACCGATTTTTCAACACAATGCAAGCGTGGGCAAGGCAGTAACACAACAGTCCCAGATCACACCAAGACAACACGGCAGTCCTTGGACACAACTGCACGTGAATATTTCTACCTACGTGACTTTACCGAAAGAACCAAAGTGTATGGATTCCTGCAGTCACGCAAGCTTCAAATCAATATTAAACTATCGATACATGGGTATGGATCAACGTTCCAATCACATTTGCAAATTAGGCTGTGTACAGCATTAATCTTCTGCTTCAGTACATTTATTAAAGGAAGATTTATGATGTTAAGGGAGGAAACAAGGTTGTTTCAAAA